TTTTTGTCTCATTTGCATTTGTTTTTATTAGGATTTCTTTATTGCTTTAGCTTCTGTGTATTTGTTCAAAAAGCCAACACCCTTGAACTTGCCTGTTTTGCTTCTCTGCTGAGAGGCCAGCTGTAAGTAGCAATGCCTGCAGGACCATACCCCACCTTGGGCAGGCTGCAAGACCCCCAATATCACACATGGGTCTCTTGGTCAATGTGTTGGCTAGGCTACAGCAGGAACTGGCCCACAAAGAGCCCATCTAGATTCACTAGAGTTGCCAGCAAGCAGCCTGGTTACAGGAGTGGCAGAGGATTTAAAACAAGCACAGCGTGAACCAAGTTCATGATGAAATCAGCAAAAGCACAGAATGGAGTGGTTTGGACAAAGGAAAAACAAAGGAAATCAGTCCATGCACAAACTTCAAGTCTAACCAGCAATGAGCTAAAGAGACTTCCCGGGTACAACCTCCCTGGCCGGACCCTCCAGATTAAAGGGGAAGCCCTGGAGAAGCGTGGCTGTCACTGCACGAGGTCAATGGTGGCCATGTGTTCCTTGGTCTCTCTCTTCCTGTGTCTTCCCCTAATGCACCTGGGCTGGCTCCAGTGACTCCCTTGCAACTGTGGGACACAGCATGAGGGATGACTGAGTCTTCTGAGACATGGGAAAACTTGCAGCTTCTGTCTCTGGGTGTCATGGGACCCTCACTCCCACCCTGAGCTGCTGCATGGGGACCTCTGCTCCTGGGGTCCTCCATGGTGGACAGGACCAGCCTGAGCTTTCCCCACCAAGTGCAGACTGTGCAAGTGAATCCAGCCACCTGCTGGACTTGAGGTGACCCAGTACCTACCCACGTAGAGTAGAAGAATCACCTGGCTGCTCTGCACTGAATCCTCACCCTCCAATCATGATGAGTAATCCAATGGAGAACCTTCCAACTCCTGCCCCCTTGGAGTTACCCACAGTCCTGGATCATGAGTGGTCACCACGCCCCTGGAGTCACCACCCATCGGGGAATGAAGCATCAGCAGGTGCACATAGGAAACAGGTGATTGATGGGGAAGCCCAGAGTCAACGGAAGGGAAAGAAGTGACGACTTGGTCTGATTAGCTGAGCAGTGATGTCGAAGACACACCTGACCCCACCCTGTGCTCAGAACCAGCTTCCCCTGCCATCAGACCTCTTGTTTTGAATTCCCAGGACTCACGCCTTCTCCCAGCTGCCTGGCTAAGGATGGCTCACACAGCTGCGTGAGCTCCCTCACTGTGCCATCTCCCCTTGGCTCCTTCCAGCTCTGACCCCTCCCTATACCATGGTAACCCCCAACCCCCCGCCTCCAGGGACCTCAGGAGAGTTGTTCAACTGTATCTTTTCCAGGGCTTGGCCCAGTCCTTGAGAGCTCATGCTTAGTTCCATCTCCAGCATTTTCTTTGGTGATCCCATGACACCTGATGTGATTTCTCACGCAGCCATTTAGGATACAGGAAATCATGGAAGCATTTCAAGGTGACTCATTGGGGCACCCAACAGGTGTGCCAGCGCCATGCTCAAATGTTCTTGAACTGGAAATTCTAATCACACACACCTGTGACTCTCGACTGGAAAATGTCTCTGTGCCCAGGCATGGGCAGGAGAATGGGAAATGTGAGGAAATAGTGACCACATGGGAGTAGCCGTCAAGCAATGGAGGCGGGTTGGCAGCCAAAGGATTGGGGCAAACACCCCAGCTCCCCTGACCTTTGAGGAGAGCCTCAGAGCTCTCTCTGGATATCTGAGGTGGGATGGGCTTAGAGCACCCAGCTGGTTGGCCTGTCCTACACTGCTCCTCTGTCACCACGTCTTAGCTCTCTGCCTTCTCCAGGCACCGCTGGTGTCACCTCCAAATATACTGCTTGCCGCTTCGTGCTTGTCTCTCACTCTGGGGTCCCAGCCTAAGCTGGAGCCATATAAAAAACCAAGGCTAGTGATGCATGAAAGAGAGAACACTTGCCTCATCCGAGCTCCTTCCTGAAAACCTTATTAGGATTATAGTCCAAGAATACAGAGGGGCTGGCGTTTAGCCTGCTGGTTGAGACGCCTGCATTCAATATCACAGTGCCTGGGTTTGAGTCCTGCCTCTGGCTTCTGACCCCAGCTTCTTGCTAATGCAGACACTGACTCAGGTAATGGCGCACCTGCTACCCACCTGGGAGACCTGGATGGAGTTCCTAGCCTAGCCCCAGCTACTGTAGGCATTTTGAGGATTAAACCAGCAGATGGGAGTTTCTCTCTCTCTCTCTCTCTCTCTCTCTCTCTCTCTCATAAATCAAAATTTAAAGCAATAAGAGAGTAATGGGCACAAAATCATGGAGAACAAAGAGAATGGCGGTGGAGTGGCAGGAGACAAAGGCATCAGCACGTTCTGGAAGATGCCGGAAGATCCCTGAGTGGTGACCACGACGCGGACCTTGAACTCAAAAGCCTTCCACAGCAGGAATCCCTTCCCCTTTGTCACCACCACAGATATGCAAGAACCTGGGAACTCCAGACACCAGGCAAGAGGGCATTGCCTTGCCAACAGTGAGACATGTCAGTTAAGCTTTTTAATCAGGAAAGCCACCCCTTATCCAGTCTTCCATCCCCACTTCTCAGTGGCAGAGTTGTCTTCATCCTGCAAGAGTGTGCACCCCAAAGACATGGATCCTGGATGTTCCCAGTCCCTGTGACAGCAGGCTGCCAGCCACAGTAGGAAGAGCAGTGACCCCAGCCCCCACCACCAGGTCCCCGGGCATCTTTCTCCCCTTCCACTCCACCGCAAGCCCCAGCAGGAGGTGGGTGGGCTTGTCTCTGGAAAAGCAGAACATACCGTGTGAGATCGCTCCAGCCGCCATCAAAAAAATACCAGGGCCTGGGTGACATAAGCCAGAGAAACGTCTTTCTCACAGCTGTGGAGACTGAAGTTGGAGATGGAGGGCAGGTGGGCTTCGTTGGTAGCTTCTCTCCCAGGCTTGCAGATGGCGCCTCCTCCCTGGGTCCTCATTGTCCTTCCCCTGTGTGTGTCTGTGTCCTAAATGCTTCTTAGGAGGACATCAGTCCCTAACATTCAACATCATCGTCACCATTTTTCAAAAGAGATTTTTTTAATTTATTTGAAAGGTAGCATGTGGGGTGTGGGAGAGAGTGAGAGAGAGAAAGCAAGATCTTCTATATGCTGATTCACACTCCAGATGACCACAATGACCAGGGCTGGGCCAAGCCGAAGCCAGGAGCCAGGAACTCCAACAACCTGGGCAGCAGGAACGTGCCTCTTGGAAGATCGACACCCTTCATCTTTCCAGAGCTGAGAAATCTATGGATTTTTCTCAAACAAAACCGGAGAGCTGTGATTTATTTATTTATTTGACAGAGTTACACACACACACACACAAACACACACACACAGAGGGAAAGAAAGAGAGATCTTCCATTGGCTGGTTTATTCCTCAATTGGCCATAATGGCCAGAGGTGTGCCAATCTGAAGCCAGGAGCCAGGAGCTTCTTCCTGGTCTCCCACACAGGCACACGGGCCCAAGGTCTTGGGCCATCTTCTGCTGCTTTCCCAGGCCATAGCAGAGAGCTGGATCAGAAGTGGAGCAGCCAGGACTAGAACCAATGCCCATATGGGATGTCAGCATTGCAGGTGGCGGCTTTACCCGCTACGTCGCAGTGCCAGCCCCAGACTTGAGAATATTTAACATCAAGAGCACAGGCTAAGGCTCCAGAAATCTGAGGAAACCTCATTTCCCATGTGGGATGCCAGATTAGGCACTGTGGTCATTGGCACCAGCAGACAGGCAAAGCCTCAACCCCACCGGGACAGGTGGCCTGGAGGGAAGCATTCCTGGGACAAGGCCCAGGCTCTAGGAAAGGGAGAGCGATACAGAAGGCACACAAAAGGAGTTCCCAAGGTGAAAGGGAAAGCAGCAAAGAGTGGGAGGCCCCATCATGAGAGCACAGAGGGAAGAAGACGGCCCAAATGGATGATTGGACGTGTTCGAGCCTATGGCGAAAAACTGTGCTGAGTGCGGTAAAGAAAGACAAAGTCCCTGGGGAGGGGAAAAGTGGAATAAAAGGAGAAGCCGCAGCAGCACTCTTGGCCCAGCCATGCACAGAATGCACTTGGTCAACTCGAAGGGGCTGGGGAAAGTGAAAGGTAACGACAGGTGTGGGGTGGAGAGGTTTGCACCAAAGAGGGTCCTTCATCCACGGCTGTGCTTGGTCAGGGCCAATAGCTGACAGATCCATAAATCGATAAGTTGAAAAAAAAAATATAACTTCTTAAGAAAGAAGTCGGGGGCAGGCATCTGGGCTGATGGCTGAATTGCCACTGGCAACACCCATATCCCACAGCAGAGCTTTGAGTCCCAGCTTCACTCCCTCCCAGTTCCGACCCCCTGCCAACACAGACCCTGGGAAGCCATAGCCACAGCTCAAGTGGTCACATCCCTGCCATCATGTGGGAGACCCAGATACAGTTCCTGTCTCCTGGCTTCCGATTGGCTGAGAGCCAGCCGTGTGAGCATTTAGGAGGGTGAACCAGTATTTCTCTCTCTCTCTCTCTCCCTATAAAATAAAAGCATTAGCGAATAAAGCATTACAACTAAAATGAGGAGTAAATTCAGGATCCACTAATGAAGTCTGAGGCATGTATTTGGGTTTGGGAAGGAACCTCAGGAGGGAAGTGTAACCCAAGACATCGCTGCTCAGGTTTTATTTTGTCAGTCTTTGATGCCACATCATTTCTAATGTGTGTGTGTGTGTGTGTGTGTGTGCCTGTGCATTGCTTTGATTATAAAACAACTTTATAAATTG